GGTTCTTTCTGCTCTGTTTCAGTTTTACCTCTTCGCTTTTGACCTTGCGGTGAAGATGCTATGTTTCATTGCAATGATTTCCAGAACATTTTCCATACACCAGAGAATAAATATCCCTTACATAGAATAAATTTTCTAAAAGCATACTTCATCTATTTCATCAAGTCGATTAAAGCCTTCTCCGGTATGCTCTTCCATCAAGACATTGTTAAGTATTTTCAATTGCTCTACCCCTGTAAGAGGCAAAGTGTCTTTATTTTGAAGTTGACTTTGGTGCAACTTCCCTTGCAGAAAACTGAAGAATATTTTGCCAGTGGGAGGAAAAAAAAAAGGTGTATACAGCCTTTAGAGATCAAATGGAAAAGGCCTTAATGAGAGCAAAGATACTTCTTTGGTGTATAAAAAGAACTCAAGTAAAGAGAAATTACCAGTTGCCACAAGAGTTAAATCACTAATCTAGTGTGCATACATTTTAAAACATGATTATTTATTTTTGCAAAATTTAGCACTGCTGTGGTCCTACTGGTTTGGAAGAAGTGAAGCCATGGGAAACTCATGGGAGCTGCCAGGTATCAGGACTGAGCCCTGGGAACGTAAAGGGTTTACTTCATGCTACCTCAGATGTCATTTTACTGGGATCTGAAATTAGGACTGGAAGTGATCTTTAAATCCAGATCTTGGGTATTTCACATGAAGTGTTTGCTACACTGCAATTGATGAATTAAAAAAAAAAAATCAAAGCAAATTACTCTGTTCTGTGGTATTTGTGCTTCCACGTGCACTTTACTAGCAGCATTGCTTGTGAATGCAAAGCCTGAGTGCTAAAAGCAAATCAGAAATTCTCTCATTCTTGCCACTTTTCAAACACTAACTACAGATGTATTGAATGATAAATCCATGTTTGTTTCAATTCACTCAGCTTTATGCCCTCAGCTGGGTGTCAGGGCATATTCTGCTCTTTTGGCTTTCTCGATAACCGTGGTTATTTTTTATCCACGTTTGTGGGTATGTTACTGGGCTGGTGTCTGCTCTAGGAGCTTGGAATGACCACATTCAGCTAGGGCCTGGAGTGAATCTTTTGCAGGTGGCCAGGCAAGCTGTGGCTCTGCCATACCTGCCCTGGTGCCTTGCTGCAGGCTCGAGCTCTGCAGCTGAGACCGTGTTATCCCCAAGACGCAGCTCCACACAGTTCCCAGCCCACGCCGTTCCGACTCGGCCCTGCCAGGGAGCAGAGCTGTCATCTCCCTTACAAAAGCCCAGCAAGCCCAGCCTGGGGTGCTGGGGAGGAAGGTCCAAGTGGAGGGACAGAGGTGCCTTTGAGTAACAATTCAACCTGTTCAACAAGCTGGAAAAGAGTGGTAAAATAAATAGCTCTGTGGCTTCCAAGTGGCTCTTGGCTGTTATTTATAGTCCTGTGGGCACTCTGCCCCACAGTCACTGACAATATCCCCGTTCAGCCCTGCTGTGACCGAGCCCAGTTCTGTGCTGGGCTCCCCTTTGCGCCCCCCTCCTGGGCTTGGAGATGTTCTCCTGACTTCTTTCCATCACTTGTTATTTCAGCTGTGGCTGTCATGACAAATGGCTTTGGTCTAGTTTGTGCCTCCTGGGCGGATGAATGAATTCATGCCATGGTGTAGGGGCGCTGGGTTTCTGCCAGCCTTGGCCAAGGCTGGGGTGATGCTGGGCATGGGCGAGCTCCTTGCCCTCAGGAAGTGGCGTGACACCAGGGTGCTTGATTTACTGATTTCCGTAGGGACTGGGATGGGTTGCCATGTAATGGTTTCTCACTGGTCTCTTGGGAGACTCTGATCCAAGAAAAGAAACCTTCTGTGTGCCTTCTGTTGAAAATGAAAATGTGGAGCCTCAATACATCCATCTCAAAGCTGTTTTCCATAGCCATGCAAAGCATGGTCCGTGGAAGGTGGAGAGAAAGCACAAACATGAAGCATAGCAGGGTCAGATATTGGGACACCTAAGGATATTAGCAACAGTTCCTGAACACCCTAACCCAACATGTTGGGACAGTTCCTACTCTCCAAAGCTTCCTTGATTGATGCCCCAGTGCACTGCCACCCTACAGCATGTAGGAAGCTCAGGCAGTCGAAGAGGATTTGGGTTTTGTGGTGGTCTCACAGGGTCAGTGTAAGTCCTTAACGCCTACACAATGTAGGGGGGAAGGTGTTGGACTTGATGGAAATAATTTGGGAGAAATACTGTATCCTTGAAGGACTAATTGGTGCATTTTGCTTGTCTAAGTGTCTCTAAGTGACAAGATACCTCTGTAATGCCACATGTCTTACTTTTCCTCTCTTCTCCTTTTGTAGGAAGGAAGATGTCTCTATGTAATCCTGCTGATGGCCCTGTACTGGTGCACAGAGGCGCTGCCCTTGGCCGTGACAGCTCTGCTACCCATTGTCCTCTTTCAGGGGATCCTTCCATCTAACAAAGTTTGCCCACAATATTTTTTAGACACCAATTTCCTCTTCCTTAGTGGTTTAATCATGGCCTCAGCCATTGAGGAGTGGAATTTACACCGCAGGATAGCACTCCGGGTCCTCATGTTGGTGGGAGTCCAGCCAGCCAGGTGACTACGGGAGCAGGGGGATCTCCATGGGGGACATGAGCTACAGGGGCTCGGGAAGTGGCTCTGCTGTGGTGGGCTGTGATGCGAGTGGCTCCCATACCACAGGGCTGCCCACGCCCCCTTTTTTCAGCTTATTGAGTTTATTCAGCTGTTTGCCTTTGCTCAGAGGCCAGTGGAGCACGAGGAGAATCTTTTGGTTCAGCCCCATGACTGTGCTCCATCCAGTTACAGAACAGTCACAGAAGTCCTTTTTCCTATTAGTTTTTTTTATCCCTGCACATGAGCTTTTCTTCCTATAGCTATATCAGAGAACTTGCAAAACTGAAGAAATTCATCTTTTCCTTTTTTCTCTCTTCCAGACTAATTTTAGGGATGATGTTGACAACGTCTTTCCTGTCCATGTGGTTAAGTAATACTGCCTCCACTGCTATGATGCTTCCAATTGCAAACGCAATTTTAAAAAGCCTGTTTGGGGAGAAAGACACATCTAAGGATATGAACAGGGAAAATGAAGAAAACCAAGGTAATTGAGACAGGGCAGTAGTATAAGCCAGCTGAGGTCTGCCCTGCTGCTGTCAAATGTGCCCCATTTTATTGACTTCACAAGTACTTCTTAGCTGCAGCGTGATCTCAGTGCTGGTCCCATTTTAATACACACTTTGTTACTGCAGTGGAAGATTATTGGCATAAAACTCCCTTTTATCCTGCCTCTTCCTCATGTCATGCAGGACGCAATGCTTGTGAGTGGTCTGGAAAAACCAAAAAGTGGTGATGCCCAGCCAACCTGCTCCGTAACCCTGCTGCTGGTGCAAGCGAAAAGCGAGCTCTGTTGGCACGGTGGTGGCGGGATTTGTAGGGATGCCTTGCTGCAAGGATAGCCAGAGCCAGGGAGGGCTGTAGGTAGTAACACCTGGGCAGATCAGTGCTACGTAATGGTGCATTGCTGCAGGGACAAGCAAGGGACTGGCCAGGTAGTGAGAGCCGGGCAGAGATGAGGACAACGGCCCCTCCGTGACAGCACACGGGGCTGCCATGTGCTCATGGACAGGTGGGTTCTCCTCTTGTTTTCCAATTTGTTCCCCCATGAAACTGGAGCCTGAGCTGGAGGAGAAAGGGAGGGTGAAAGGGATGGCCTGCAGGTTAAATACCTATTTATGAAGTGCTTTGTGCTGCCAGCTTCTGGCAGATAGAGATGAGAAACAGCAAAGCAGAAATGAAGTAATAAAGTCCCCTGCTCCAGCTGTTGCTGATATTTGGAGCAGTAGTTGCGGCTTCTCTTTCTTGCACTAATTAGTAATTCTTTTGCCCCCGTGATTTAAAAGCAATGGCTTTTTGTTTCCCACTGAGTCCTAACGCAGAAAAATGAGTGCACAGAAGAAGATTCAAACACATATGTACTCTAATAAAGATATAATTAATCATTCATCATTAACGTCTAGCAATCATGAGATATTTGCACTCCGGGTCACTTTATCACATTTGCTTTATGAATTTTGTCCATTCACATCAATTAAAATCAGCCCCACTGACCTTCTTGCTATAACTTCTTATTTTGTGGAAGCATTGTATTTTGTTAGTCTGCTTTTAACCTTCTTGACCCCATCCTTTGAAATTGTTTGACTTTGTAGTTGTATCTGTAAATATAGGAGAGTTTGGGAACACATAAAATCAAGACCCCCCATTGTCCTAGACGTTGTCAAGCACAAAATTAACATCCTTGGCTCACAATGCTTACAGTGGTGAGAGAAGCCAGAAAAGTCAGAGAGGCATACAAGCAGCAGAATGAATAAAGTGATATGCAAATATCATGTGATGGTGTGATGATGTATTCTTTTGAGATAGAGGCATATAAAAGTAGTAACTACCAGCAAAGGAGGAGTCATCTGTAAAATGTACGACAACAAAATGCAGGCTATCGTGTAGACTTTTTATTTGAACTTTAGCGTCCCAAGGTAGACTCATCCTTTTTTGTCATCTTTCTGAATGGATGAGAAAAGCTAAGTTCCTTGAAGGAAGCCCTAAATGTGAAGTCAGTCAAAAGTGACGAATCTGATGTCACACCTAGGAGTGGAGATGTGAAGGTGAGCTTCCTGCATGGGGTTCCTGTCTGTCGAGTGTCATCTACAGTCAGGGCTGGTTGCACATCTGCGATGGGGTTGTTGCAGTTAGTTTTTCAGAAAATGGTATACTCATATCATAGCTTATTTCATTTTTATTATCTAACTGAAGTATAATCTGTGTGCCAAAAAAGACAGGCAGGTTTATTTGTGAAGGGGACTGTATGTGGAAGCGAACTTTTACAATGGCGTATGATAAGATCAGTTTGCAAGTCCCCTTAGATATGCTTTAATAACACCGTAGTAGTGTCCAGGAGGCTAAAAAATACTTGGGTGGCTAAAAATAAATTAAAAATATATTTAAAAATATGTAGCAAGTAAAAACATTTGGTTTCCTGAAGAAATCTCAGCAAGTGAATGAACCCAGCTTTGTGAAGGGCTTTGCTTACACACACAGTGCCAGAATTAAAGTTATGTCTTGGATTGGTTGGTCACACTTTTTGCTGATGAAAGAATCTCAGGGTTACAATGAATTCTGGCCATGCTGAACCATTTGGGCAGCATATTATAGATCAGTTAATACTTGCATGCTTGTGTCACTGATAGCTAAAATTTGGTGTAATGTTTTGTTCATTTTGACGCTATTGGCTACTGATGCAAGAATGCAGTTAGATGAGCTTTGGTGGCTGAAGTCCCAGCTGGTTCTGGTTGATCGAAGCAGGGTCATAAACTGAACACCAATAGGCTTTTTTTAATTTCCAGAATTTTCCTTTTGAAGGTGAGTTATATATTCCCTGCAACTCTGTCTGACATCTCCAGCCTTAAACCCAAACCATGTGACAGGTGTCTGACAAACTGGAAACCACCATGCTAGTAAGCCTGCCCATCTCTCCTGCTCTCTGTTCACTAATCCATCATTAGCAATATTTCATTTCTCTGAGCAGCTTAAGTGTCTCCAGGTAAAAATAATAAGAAATTATATATTTCCATCCTTTTTTTCCTGCGCAGAGAATATCTTCTGCAAATTCAAGATAAATTGCAGCCAGTGTTTGAGGTGTTCCATTGGGTCACAGACCTGGAAATGATGTCTCTAAAGGGGCAAGTGGGAAATATGCATTTTTGGACTCTGCTGCCTAACCCTAGCCCGTGCTGGCAAGGTATGGCCCCAGTGTTGCTGCCTGCACCCCTTGGTGGGTGGAAATACTCCTTCTCAGGCCTTTTCAACGTCTTAGAAACAATGAAAATGTCATTAAAGCCAATCTTATCTAGGCCTTTCTGCCTCTAAGGTATTTGGTGAAATGGCCGCTGAATCTTTCTCATGCTGTTCTGTGAGAGGTGTGTACAGCCAGGTCCTAGCCCGGTGGTCTTTGACCTCTTCTGACTTGTGGACCTGTGACAATTTTCAACTCTTGTTTTTCCCACAAGTTTCATAGGAAAAGTTTGCTCTGCAGCATCTCTGGCTTTCCTTTGCGTGGTTGCCTTTTGCAAGCCTTGCTTGAGAGGTAACTCACAGATGGTGGTGGCAAGATGGGATGGGAGTTTGGGCTTAGCAGGGAAAAAAATTGAAAAATTAATTAAGAGGTAGGATGAAGTATGTGTCTCTGTAGAGCCAGCACTAGGCTCGAATGGGATGGCAGTGGTAAGAGGCATTGGGCCAAATGTGTTGGGGGGATCAACAGTCAGCCATGGGTTAATTTAGTTAGTCCTTCTAATTACATCCCTCCATCATGGCATTGTTGGGATGAAAGCTCAACATGTGTGCGCCCAAGCCAATTAACTCAAATTCAGTAAATTAGCGATGTGTAAAACATGACTTTGCAAAACTCTTTGGTTCACTGAGCTGGAACGAGCTCCATGTCTTTGGCACACACGTGAGCGAGTCCAGAGACTTTGACCTCTGGCCTCTCTCCACACACTGCTTTTGGTCTCCTGAGCATATACGGGTAGAAGAGGATGGTGTTTTGTACTGGGGAAGGGTGCAAGGAAAGTTGGGGACTGCTGGGGTGGCAGCACCAGGAATGGGGCTCAGCATGCAGTGGTCTGCATAGTCTGAGGGTGTGGCGACACAGATCTCTGTATCCCAAACCATACAAATTTCCCTAGGAAAGGCATCAGAGCCTGCAGTGATGGGGAAGGGCCAACTGGGCTGAAGGTGGATAAAACTCACAAGTGCTCCAGTCCTGAGGAGGAATATGGAAAATGGGGTTTAATAGCACACCTGTACTCCGAACCTCAGGAGGTCAAGCCATGAGCCAGGACTACAAATGCCACAAGCCTTAGAGTGAGATCTGGTAAAAAAGAGTGATTGTACTGTACTTCTGTCTTTTGATTTCTGAAGTCTTCCATACCTATGTGTGTGGTAGGGTGGTATGCAGCTCCCGGTTCCCTGCCAAAGAGAGCACTGGTCATTCTAGTCAAAATATGCCCTTTCCTCAAGTGCTCCTGGATCCTGTTTGTGTTCCCTCTGGTCGGTGATAAGGAGGACAGTGAGGGAGAGCCTGTGTGAAATACGCAGGAGGGTCCCTGGGAATTGTGTATGTAAAAGAGTCCCCCTGGGGTGGCCCTAAACTTGTTGGGGGCCAGTTGCTCAGCCTGCAGAGTCTGTCATTTACAGAGGGGGTGATGGGCTTGGGAATGGTCCTTGCTGTTGGGGTGGATTTCAGAGGACCTGGTATGAAGCCTTATCCCCAAATGTGTCTCACCCTTGTCTTTAAAGAGGCAATTGCAGCTTTATGGTGACTTTGCACTAGGTGTCTTCAGGGGGTAAAATTCTCATCCCTTGGGACGGAGCTCCATGGCAGGGAGTGCTGCTGCTGTACCTTGGGGAACATGCCTTACAGATACATCAGGCCCAACAGTTTCTCTTCCTAAGAATGAGCTATGGTTAACCTCCCCTAAAAAAACCCACCCCAAACCTATGACTTGTTAAGTGACACCTTGGAACTCCTGGTCATGTTAGAAGATCCCAGAGCCCAAATAGTGGCAGAAGCAGTAAAAGGACCGAGCGCCTCTGGGTGTTGGAGGAGAAGCTGGGTGCTGCAGTGGGACCAGAGCAGTGGCAGGAGGATACAGGCTCGTTCATCCCCGTGGGGCGCTCCCGACCCCATCCCTGTGGCGTGAGCTTACCCTTCATTTGCCCTCCTCTGTAAATGGCAGTTGTTTCCTCCGTTCCTCTGTTTGGTTCAAGGAGAATTTTCTAGATGCTTTGAACTGTTTTAAAGTCCTCATCTTTCTCTTTCAGCATCTTTACAGCAGAATAAACTTTACACTGTACCAACTGAGATGCAGTTTCTGGCAAGTACTGAGGAGTAAGTTAACTATAAAGTTTGTATTGGAGAGTTGAGAGAATTATCCCCTGAGTGAGACCAAGTTTTAGGAATTTGAAATTCAATCATTGAACTGTTATGATTATAACAAATGTCCCAATCACTAGCAGCTTGATGATAGAAACCCTCCTCTGTGTGTCCAGGATCCCTCTGCATGTCCAAATCATTGCAGACATTTTCCAGCCATGCTGAAATGGTAGCCAGAGGTGTCTCCTGCTGGGGAATTGTGCCTTGGTTTTCTCACAAATGTCAAAAGCGTGAAGACAGTGATACAAACCCCACCAGGATTTACACACTGGTGATGGTCCTGCTTTGATAACAGTGATGGGAAGGAAGCATCTTCTCAGGAGCAGATGTTTCTTTCCTCTCAGTGCTATCAAATTTTTTTTTTTTTTTTTTTTTTTTTCTCCTAGCAGTCTTGTGGACTTGTAAGTGTTACAAGTTGCTGAGGGGCCGGGCAAGGTATGTGCACCCTCAGCTCCTCGGATGGGTGCTGAGGGTGCTCTGCCCTCTGCAAGGCTGCTGGTCCCATGTGGCAGTTCACCCAGTGGACCCCTGTGCTGCACTGAGCTGCTTAGGTGTCCTTGAGGACAGTGTTAGCTTGGATTTCTAAAACCTGGGAATTTTCCTTCTGTCAAGGCTCTGAAGTGGTTGCACTGTATTTAAACCAGGGCTTTCACCAGCTTCTCTTTTGAACTATTTTAAAGCAAAGATCTGACGGAGGAGAAGGAGGTTGCCAGCGATACTCTCTCAGACTTAAAGAAGGAGGAGGAATACAAGACAAATATATGGAAAGGTTTCCTCATCTCAATCCCATACGCGGCCAGCATTGGAGGTACAGCAACACTGACAGGAACTGCACCAAACCTCATCCTTCTGGGACAGCTGAAGAGGTATGGGAGGCTGTCCTGGAGAGCCTTGTAAATCCTGGAAAAGTGTTCTCCATCCCTGTAGGAAATGCCCTTCTGTGCTGAGGACTAGTTTATAAAATTTAAGTCTTTCCAGAACGTTTTGGGAAACTTGGTGAGCAGATGAAAGCAGAGGGTGGTTTCATCAGCCTTAGCTGTAATAAGCAGGTTTCAAGCGTACCCAGCCAGGCTGTCAGCCAAACCAGTGCATATGTGCTTCACTGTACTGATGCTCTTAATCCCACTGAATTTAATGGGATTTGACTACACGCTTACAATTAATCTGGTAACTGTTTTGTTGAAACAGGCCGTGTAGTGTTTTGTGAGCAATTACATCTACTGCTGTATGGTAGAAAGGAGAATAAGAAGCCTGCCACTTCTGAGCCGTTTTCTTAGTCATAAAAGATGCCTCCTATGTGCATGGGAACAGAGATTTGTGCCACCTTAAGTGCCTGCAGGTATTTCTTTGCTGGCCTCTGCAAGGAGTATGTTCAGGCTCTCCTAGGCATGTACAGCATCCCTATGAGGTTCATGTTCAGACTCTGCAGCAGTTGTTGTAGCAGGGTTTAATCCTGGGTGTTCAGGAGTATCATTGTATGAAAGCATCAGCCATCCGGAGAGAGATTTTCAGCTCTTCCTGTGGAGGCTTGTACAGCTGGGCTGGGGGAGCTGTGGGTGGCAGGGTGGCCTTGGGGAGTTGTCCCAACACAACACTCTCCAAATCTCTTAGTGCCCAGATAACTGCTAATGCACACAGATAAATAGTTTTTGAATGCACGCTGGCAAGTTTGTGGGATATTTTGCTGCTGATTACGGATATTTGTTTACCATTAAACTGAAGGGTTGTTTTCCCTTTTTGCATTAACTTGATTTTTTCCCATTTGCTTAGTTATTTTCCAGAATGTGATGTGGTGAACTTTGGTTCTTGGTTTATGTTTGCATTTCCTTTAATGCTGATTTTTCTTCTCCTGGGATGGCTATGGATTTCCATCCTGTATGGAGGAATTAATCTGAGGTACGTTTATATGCATATATGTAGCCTGGTTATACCAGCATTGTGAAATACATGTTAATCATGATCCTCATACTAAATCTACTGATATCACCCAGGATCATCTCCTGGACAGTGGGGGGTTTCATAACTAACTTCAGGATGCTTGTGCTGTAACAAGTCATCTCTTTTTAAGAAGCTGATATGAAACAGGAAGGTTTAAAAGATATCTCATAGTTACATATACTTTATCTGACTGAAATACATATGTGTACAGAGTATGTATTATATATTCATTCAGTTAAATATACAATTTTTAAAGGTTTAAAGGTTTGGCTGAACTGGGTCTGTGGAGGTCAGTGGCAGATTTTCACTGGCAGAAAGGAAAGCAGGATCAAACTTTGAAGACTAACGTGAAATCTTGGCTCCCTTGGAATTAGTAGCAAAAATCTCCTAGAACATAAAAGCCAGGATTTGTTCCTGGGACAGAAAGTTGGGTTTGGAACAGATTACTTCACAACAGGGCTTAATTTTACAACAACGTGTTAATCTGTAACTGAGAATAACATGTTTTTCCGGTAAATCTTTGCTGGATACATGCAACCCCTAGTGTAGACTGCTTAAAATGGTTGCAGCACTGCCATGCTGGTTCATTTGGAGCTCTTTTTCCCCCTGCACAGTCTCATACTCACAGTCCTGCTTTCTCCAGGGATTGTACAGAATTTCTAGTATTTAGAGAAGTCTTTAATTGTTATTTTGAGTTTAAAATGCAAATAGAAGAGGGGAAAAAAGGAGAGAACAGGTGTCCAAATATTTACATTGTCTCAGAGACAGGAAAAAAATCAATGGGAAAGTTTCAAGCCAGAAAATGTCAAACGCTGGTTCTTAAATTGCTCGGGGAGCTTCACAGGAGGCTCTGCGTGCTGCTGTGGGATGCTCTGCTGGCTGGCGGCCGCTTAGACCTGCCCGCTCTGCATCGCGTGCCCAGGGCTTGTGCAATGTGGAGCCTGAACTCCCGGTGTCCTACCGTGAAGGCTGGGGCACGGCCCGGTGTCCTGCCCTCAGGTGAGGGAAGAGGTAGCTGTGCTGGCCAAAGCCCCTGGTGAAATGCAAAATTGCTCTCCTGCTTGGAGAACGTGATGCTCTTTGTTTTGTTTGGCTCATCTCTGTCAGCACAAAGCCCGGCTTTATTGGGATAGCTGGGCCAGCGCAGATACCAGTATTCCCCAGTGGCGAGGTGCCTCGGAAGAGACATTGCGAAGCCGCACAAGTACAGCCAAGTGTCTGCAGGAGTTTGTTGGGCTGCTTTGATTGTAATGGCTCAGGGATAGTGGCTGGACTTTCTATGTGGGCAAGTCCTTGGTGTCTGCAGCACAGTACAGGCAGATGGACATCGCTCTAGTAGCATGTCGGCTTTGCTTGAATCCAAAAGACATTAAATGGCTTAGGTATAGGCTGAGATGAAGCTGCTGGTAATAACACCCCCCCAAAAATAAGAAACTGAATGGCCAGGTGTAGCTATTTGAGTTTCAGAAACTTCTGAATGATCAACCATTCATCCGTATAGAAGATCTGGCCATGATATCCCTTTGAAACAGTGAATGAGTTAAGAAAGTGCAGGCACCGCAGAGGTAGGTGGATGCATCTGATGCAGAAAGTTGGGTTTGTAGGTTTAATCAAGGTCACAGACATGGTGAGAAACCAGGTTCAGCGTCATGCAATGTGTCAGGAGATGAAGTGCGAGATACGGATGTATCATTTGTATGCACATACTGCAAAGGATCAAACAGTGTGCGCGGTCAGTGTGGCCAAGCTAAGAGGCTTAGCCAGGAGCACATTAACATTCTGGCCAGTTAGAAATTCCTCACATTTTTGTTGTTCCTCAGCAGCATCCTGGGATCATGCAGGAAATTGCAAGTGACTTGAGGAGTGAAGGGACAGATTAATTTTCCCTGTCACCCTCTTCCCAAGTAGGTATCTGCTAGAGATGAGGAAATCCTGCAGTGTTAGGACTTTCTTTTGGGAATCACAGCCCATGCTGGAGGAAACAGCTTAGAATATAAACAAGAGGAAACTTCCTAATCTCTGCAAGGTCTCATTTGTATGAATGCAGAGAGGAAGAGTATGTGAAATAGGGCCTTTTTGCCTGTAACTGCGCCAGAGACCTTCATCATCAGTCTTCATGATTTGAAGATAGTGCAAACTGGGCCACCAGAAATGTGCAGCTCTTTGAAACTTGCAGAGCAGGCACTGGAGAAGTACACAGTCTCATGCATTTACTATTGTGTCAGTTATATTAGAGGCATGGAAAGATATAACTCTGTTTCTTGGCAGGGGCTGGAGAAAAAGAAAGTCAAATATAAGAGTGGATGCAGAAGCCCGAGCCAGAGAAGTGATAAAGGAGGACTATCAGAAACTGGGTCCAACAAAGTGAGTCTTAAAGTCGGGACTGAAGTGAAAAAGAAATCAAGTGGGTTGGAAATGTCCTGTGTTAAGAGTGAAGAACTGAGGAAAACGGAGTTTTCTAGAAGAAAATTGAGTTGGTATTTCCACTCAGAGTGTTTGTAACCTGCTGAAGTTTGCTTTTTGCGTGCTCCAGCCTCTCCACCTTCTCTAACAGGAATAATTGCAAATAGCAGCTTGTGCTCAAATCTTCTCAAGAACAAAGTTCATATTATAGAGTGAATTCATGCTGGGTTGTTTAATTACTGTTTGTAATTTTTCTGCTCCAGGGACAAAAACAATCCTGTGCATGTTGGGTACTAACCAACACAGGCTGAATTTTGAAGGTTTGTGCATATCTGTTGTGCGAAGCAGGAAGCATTTGCTGGGAAGGCTGACGAATCACATGACAGATATGAATCATATGGATTGTGGGTATACATTAAGAAAGCTTAATAGCTGCTCAAAGAAAGTATATGGAAAGAAGTCAGATCCATGTAATGGAGTACATTATTTTTTCTGAATAACTCCTTCAACTGTATTAGTCAGGTGAAGAAAGAACAGAAGACTTTTAGCTTTTTATTGTAGTTTCTCAAAGGTCTTGTCTTCTGGAAAAATCTTGGTGCAAATTGCAATGATGAGGATCATATTTTGGAGAAAGGAACCAGGAGAAAGAAATGTAAGTTTTAGACTTATGAGAAATGCCAAAAAAAGGGGGAAGCAGGAAAAGTTGAGTATTGCTAGGAGTCAAACACTAGATGTGTCCAACCAGCCATCGATATTCTGGGCAACGAGGGCTAGTGAAGGTTTTAGAAACTGCAGGTCTTAACCTTAAATGGTCTGTGTTTCTCCATCTGTAAAATAGTATTTTCGTACTCACGGCAATGTTGTGAAGATTTGGTGATGTTTGTGTCGTGCTATCGACATCGTAATTGCTGTTGTGTGGAAAATGGAGTGGTTCTTCAAAGACAATTGTCTGTGCTGTAAATGAAAGAAATTGGTTTATTTGTTCCATTCAGTACATTATCAAGCAGTCTGCAAAATGTCTCTGAAAGAATCAAAGTCCCACTTTGAGGTCTAGGAGTGAGAAAGTCCATTAAGCTGTGCTCTACCAATTTGATTAGCAGCCCCATAACGTAAAATCAATGCAAGTGGCCTCTTCCCAATGGTTTAAATGCCCTTCCTTGTGCTCATAGAGGTTTTCAACGGTGTTTTGAGGCATTGTCTTGGTTAAATCTTGACTCCACTAGAGTCAAGCCTGATGCTTAGCGAATGATATTTACCCTGCTCTTTGTCATGTGTCTGAGGGATACTGTTTAGGTTGTCCTTGAAGTTTTTTCCTGCTGTTTCACATATGATTTGAATCTCAGCCATCCTTTTATGTTGGTTGAACTGGAGTGAAGCCATCCCTAGCTGACGATGCCTTAGTGACATCCCAGAGGGCGGTGGTGAGACGAATGACCATGAGAAACTGCTTGGCCCTTCCTCTCTGCCACAGCCAGAGGGTCAACCTTGCATATGCCTGTTGTGACATCTGGGCATTCCGGATGCCTGTCTTGCCTCTCCTTAATGTCTTCCGATAAGAGATAATTGCTGGCACATATCCATATTTGCAAACAGATTTACAATCTATTCCAACGTTTCACTCTAGTTATTTTTAGAAAACCAGCCTAAATTCTCACCCAAGCTGCTGCAGCCTGAGCTCAATACTTGTCCTAGCTTGGATCCACCCCTTTAGCACATCAGCATTTTAATAGCATTTCTTTTCATTTTAGGTTCGCAGAACAGGCAATTTTCTTCTTCTTCTGTGTGTTTGCGATCATGCTTTTCTCCAGGGATCCCAAATTCATCCCAGGTTGGGCAAGCTTGTTTGCACCAGGGTAAGATTTTATTTTCATTCCACTGTCACATTTTCAATAACATTTCAAAGTTGTTGAGATTTCTGTTGAGGTTTCTGATTGTGTTGCTTAACACTATTACTCAGGTTTCCTGGAATAAATTAAACTGAACTTCAAGTAGCAGAGCCGGCTTTATTGTTTCTGTCTCCTGGAGGAGGTACATGAAGCCCGGTGGGAAGTTGGCATGTGTCTGTCTGAGGCCATCCCTAGGGTTTTAATGTAGGGAACACTGTTTATAGGTACATTTACAGTGAAATAATGAATTCTTTATGCAATCCACTGATTTCACTGGAGGTCTGGAGACTGAAGAGAGATGTCAGGAGCTGCCCCCAAGTGCTATCCTGTCTGTTGGGCAAGTTTGTCTCCCCGTGAGGTCCGTACTTTGGGAAGACAAACGGATATAGCAGTTGAGGAATGCTAAAGCTTGGAGAGGGTGTTGTTATCTCTTTACAGAAGAGACCTTCATAGGTTGGTTGGTTGGTTGGTTTGTTTGTTTGTTTTAAATAAAACCCTGTCTTAATAAATGATTCCGTAATATGGCAAAGTAGTTATGGACTTTTTCCTCATCAGTTAATAGCTCCTTACAATGAAACGCATGCTTAAGCTCTTTACTGGATGGAGCCTGCCTTTCACCTTAGAGTCTGAGCATTTTGCGAACAGCTCATATAAATAAGATGGTCTGGGCTCTGCTTGTCTTCCTCCCTGCAATGAGTTGAGGAAAGTTGTCCTCACAGCCCCTCATGGACTGACCATGACTCCTGAATCAGAACAGCCAGAGCATCAGTGTGGTGGGGATAAGATCTTGGGTTTTACATTTGTAGGGCAGCTTTTCTAGGGGGTTCACAGCTCGTTGTAGAAACGTAGCTCGACAGGGAATTAAAAAGGAAAGAACTGTGAACAATGAGTGTAGTTCAAACCTGACGGAAACTTGTAATCTTCTTTGGGAAATCCCTGTTCTCATAAACTTTGTAATTCTACAGGCTTGTGCTTATTACAAGTGTTTCTGCTGCTTTTGGACAGGTTCATCTCGGATGCAGTTACAGGAATCACCATTGTGATTATACTGTTCTTCTTCCCTTCACAAAAACCTTCCTTCAGGTGGTGGTTTGACCTGAAAGGTGAGTAGGAGACCCCTCCAGGCAGGGACTCTGTCCTTGCCTGTGCTCTGGCAGGGCAGGCACGGAGCAAGAGCCAAGGCTATTCCCCCTTGGACCTGCACCAGCCCACAGCAGCTGCAGCGTGGCTTGAAGGTGCAGTTTGATCCTAGGGAGGCGTTTTACTGAAG